ATAAAAATCTTTAAAAAAAAAAAAAATCAGAATGTAGGGGCGCCTGGGTGGCTCAGTCGTTAAGCGTCTGCCTTCGGTTCAGGTCATGATCTTAGGGTCCTGGGATCAAGCTCCTGGGATCGAGCCCCGTATTGGGCTCACTGCTCCACGGGGAGCCTGCTTCTCCCTCTCCCACTCCCCCCCGGCTTGTGTTCCCTCTCTGGTTGTGTCTGTCAAATAAATAAATAAACTCTTTAAAAAAAAATCAGATTGTATGGGGAAACTGGTGCTAAACCATTCATGAACACCCTGCTTCTGGGTTGGGGTTTCATACAAAGCAGAGCAGCTCCCTCTCTGTGATTTATTGAAAGTCAGCCCTCTACGCAAGGGTTTGGGAGGAAAAACAAACAAACCAAGAACAAAATTTGAAGAAAAAGAAGAAAAAGACAAAAATCAGAATGTAGCTGACTATATAAAATCAAAGCTCCTGCTACACTCAGGACACTGAAAAGCAAGGCAGGTGTGTCATCTCCTTGTTCATTCTTGAGAACTCTTCCAGTGTCACTTGCCATCATTCTGAGCCTGTGTGGGAAGAGCAGAGACTTGAGGGTTTACACAGACCAGTGGTTGAGCCCTCCCCTCTCCACATACAGCAGTATGACTTGGGTGGGCCACTTCACCTTTCTGATCACCAGTCTCTTTGTTAGTAATAGATCTGGGATCTCTGCCCCACGACTGGGTAAGGAAGATTAAATGAGAAAATGGATGGGACTGCCACAGCTTGCTTACTACACAGTAGGCAGTCAAGACCCCTTGTTCACTTTACTCATGAACATGGCAGACAAGTTTTTATAGGCTGGGCTATGCCATGGGTGGTGGGGATGGCTGAGGTGGACCTGGGAAAGAGGCATCTGTGGGACATTGGCCTGAGAAAACTTGAGACTCATTTGTTGATTAGGATATGTCTGAGTTTGGGGCGCCTGGGTGCCTAAGTTGTTAAGCGTCTGCATTCGGCTCAGGTCATGATCCCGGGGTCCTGGGATCGAGCCCCGCGTCGGGCTCCCTGCTCAGTGGGGAACCTGCTTCTCCCTCTGCCTGCTGCTCTGCCTGCTTGTGCTCTCTCTGTGTCAAATAAAATCTTAAAAAAAAAAAAATCTGAGTTCGTTTCTGTGGAAAGGCAACACAGCACCAAGGAAGGCACAAGGAAGCAACTCCAGGCCCTGAGCACTTATATACCAGGTATCTTCCCTCTGCCATGATAGTCAGTGGCAAAGGTATCCCAGAACCCAGCCTGTGGGGACAACCCCAGTCCCTTGCAGGATCTTACAGGCCATATCAAACCACGTGGAGGCTTTGTCGTGTGGGTACAGGGAGCTGTTGAGGGTTTTTAAGCAAAGGAATGACATGGATTTGCACTCCATCTTCCGTGTTCCCACAGTCTCCTTGACACTCCTCACTGGACTGGATGACCCCTCCAGGGCAGGATCCTGCCTTTTTCATTAAGTGGAAGACATAACAGTTATAATGGCAGAGTCCATGCTCTGGGGTTCCACCCTTGGCTTAATCCCTTCTGCCATTTACCACCTGATGACCTGAATTATGTAACCTCTCTGAACCTGTTTCCTCATCTGCTAAGAAGGGTGGTCATTTCTACCTTAAAGAGTTTCTGTTTTGTGAGGTACTTACATAGCATGTATGACTTAGTATTAGCAGGTGAAGGTGTTTAGAGTCTTGGGGACCCCTGGGTATGACTGCAGGTTAGATTTCTCGAGGTTATAGGTCATTCACACAGGAATCAAGGGAGATAGGTTGAATGTCTTGTCAACTTTTAAGGAGGCACATTTCATTGTTCTTCAGATTTTTTGCAATTTCTCATTAGCCTGCTTTATCCTTTGGCTGAAAGAATTTTCCTAGTGGTTTTATTTGCTCATTTTAGAGGAAGTATGGACTGTTTACCTGCAGTCCCTTGGCAGATGGTTCTCAGGATGCATCCTAGGCTAACAGGAAGCATGAGTAGAAGGAGCATGGGACCTATTCATGTGATATATGGAGAAACCACAGCCCTATAAGGAAGATGATTGCATGTCCCTGAGAGCCTGCTGGAGATGGCTCTGGTTGGAAGCCCAGGGACATGGTGGAGCATGTGTGTGGGTACATATGTGTGTTCGTATATGTGTCTTAAGACTAGTGCTATCCAGGCCAAGGTAGGGGCCCATTCGTTCTGCCTTTGATGCCCATCTAAGATGTGTACTAAAGATACCTTTAGGTGCAAAGAGGGGAGTTGAGATGGTAAGGGGAAGGCACCTTGGGTTGTGAGTAGGGAGATGTGCTTTTGGCTCCTGCTCTGCCACAGATTCACCTTGGTCAAATTGCTTGTCCTGACTGGATCTAAGAACAAGATGATCCAGGAAGCATAGATGGATGATGACATTGACTTGACCAAATGGTCGGACTCTAGATTTGTCCCTGGCAGGGAATTCTGTCTTTATTTTAGTTGGGTTGTGTTTTCTTTTTCTTTTTTTTTTTTAAGATCTTATTTATCTATTTGACAGAGAGAGACACAGCGAGAGAGGGAACACAAGCAGGGGGAGTGGGAGAGGGAGAAGCAGGCCTCCCGCCGAGCAGGGAGCCCGACGCGGGGCCCGATCTCAGGACCCTGGGATCATGACCTGAGCCGAAGGCAGACGCTCAACGACTGAGTCACCCAGGCGCCCCTGTGTTGTGTTTTCTATGATAGAGAATGCTACAGTAACCATCTTTAAAAATGAGGATTTTTGCTTTTGTTGAAAACATTTCCAGAAGGAAATTACTGGGTCATAGGGCAGGGACATCATTATAGCTGTTGCTGTGTGTTGCTATGTTGCTTTTCAGAATCAGTGTATCAACTTACAGTTGTCAGCTATGTGTGAGAGAGCATTTTAACCCTAACTTATCCAGTATTTAGTATCGTTATTATTTATTGTTTTTATAATTTAGTTGGCATAAAACGATACTTTAAAGCTGCTTTATAATAATTAGAGGTGCTGTTTTTTGGTGTCCACTATGTTTAAGTTGTGTTAGGTGTTTATATTCTCTCACTTATTCCTCACAATGGATCTATCAGGGAAGCTAAGTAGCTCACCTAAATCTGTGAGCTGGGATTTGAACCTAAAGCAGCATGGCCTCAAAACACATTCTCTGTCTCAGTGCCTCTCCATGCTTTGATTTGTGGGGGTGTGGTTACACAGTATGAACTTCAGCTTGTGCGCTTTGCTGCACTTTGAACTATGCGAATTTTGTATAGTTTTCTTAGAAAATTGAATGTGTTCTTTGCATAGAAGAGATTTTTAACCCTGTGTTATAATGGAAGCAACAACTGAGGTGCATTTATTACAATTAGGGCGAAGACTCAAGTGAACTCTAGGATATTCTGGTGTCAGGCTCTCTGAAACTGTTTTCTCCCCCATGCAGCGGCCCTCCAGGCCCTGAAGCGCAAGAAGAGGTATGAAAAACAGTTAGCGCAGATCGACGGCACACTGTCAACCATCGAGTTTCAGCGGGAGGCCCTGGAGAACGCCAATACCAACACTGAGGTGCTCAAGAACATGGGCTATGCTGCTAAGGCCATGAAGGCTGCCCACGACAACATGTATGTGGATACCCACTGGGCGGGGGGGGGGGGGCACCTGTGTGGCAGGGCCTCAGTCCCAGGACATGGCCTTGGGCGACCCTTTGACATTCAAAACCTGAGTTCGTTTTAATTTGCGTTCTTTTTTGGAACTCCTTTTATTTATTTTATTTTTTAAAAATATTTTATTTATTTGACAGAGAGAGACACAGCAAGAGAGAGAACACAAGCGGGGGGGAGGGAGAGGGAGAAACAGGCTTCCCGCGGAGCGGGGAGCCCGATGCGGGGGCTTGATCCCAGGACTCTGGGATCATGACCTGAGCCGAAGGCAGACGCCCAACAACTGAGCCACCCAGGCGCCTCTGGGAACTCCTTTTAGAATGGATTTTATACCCTATTGCCTAAAGAAACAGATCTCGGGGTGCCTGGGTGGCTCAGTTGGTTAAACGTCCAACTCTTGATCTCAGCTCAGGTCTTGATCTCAGATCATTTAAAAAAAAGAAGATTTCATGGAATGAAACAGTATTTCTGAGTGATGAGCAGAGTTTCTAGCTAGAAAGGTCCTTAGAAAGTTCTTTCACCCAGGCCTCTGATTATCAAGGTGGGGAAGCTGTGTCCCAAAGAGGGGAGGTGACTTGCTCTGGGTTATGGATGAGCTTGGATGGAACTGGGGTTAGAATCAGTGTTCATGTCTTCTTCCTGATGCTGTCAGGGTCCTGAAAGGGCTTCGGATCTCTCTGTTCTTAAATCTGCTTTTGATGGAATTTTCTGGCTCCCCTCTTGCTCTCAGTCTTTGGCTGTCATATTAACAATGTTCTTGGGGTGCCTGCCTGGCTCAGTCAGTAGAGCATGTGACTCTTGATCTCGGGGTTGTGAGTTTGAGCCCTAAGTTGGGTGTAGATTACTTAAAAAACAAACAAACAAAACCTTTCAAAACAGTGTTTCTGACCTCAGCGATCCTTCCCTTATGTGGCTACTTCTCATGTACAGTGGCCTAGGAAACTAGATAACCAAACTTGTTACGGTTGTAATTAAAGGCCAGGGTAACACTAAGTGCCAAATGAGGGCCTCTCCCATGAACAAATTCTGCATTTGTTGTAGTGCTTGGACTTGGCAGCATATATTTGGGGAGTGTTTAAAGTCCTTTTTTTGGGCGCCTGGATGGCTCAGATGGTTAAGCGTCTGCCTTTGGCTCAGGTCATGATCTCAGGGTCCTGGGATCAAGTCCCGCATCGGGTTCCCTGCTCAGTGCAGAGCCTGCTTCTCCCTCTCCCTCTGCCACTCCCTCTGCTTGTGCTCTTCTGTCTATCTCTCTGTCAAATAAATAAATAAAATCTTTAAAAATAAATAAATAAAGTCCTTTTTTTACTTCCTTGGGGGTACTCAGCCATGTCAGGGATTGGCAGAATGTTGCCTGTGGGCCTACCACCTATTTAGTAAGTAAAGTTTTATGGATACACAGTCGTGCCCATTAATTTACATATTGTCAATGGCTGCTTTTGTGCTACATAGCAGGGTGAAGTGTTCATGACAGTTTGTATGGCCCACAAATTCTAAGATATTTCCTATTTGGTCCTTTAGAGGAAAAGTTCGCTGATCTTTGCTCTGGAAATGTGGGGTTGCAGGAAAAGTAGCCTTTAAATAAGTGAGGTATTACCTGAGGGTAGATGTTCATTGGGCTGAGCTTCCTAAGTTAGGTCCACGTCTGCTCCATTTCTGTGTTCTCCAAGATGCCTAGCACAGGGCACATCTCAATAAACCACTGTGCATGCTTTGAAATATATGTGTGTGTATTATACTGATTAATTGTATGTTTGTAAGATTGACAGTGCATAGAAAGTAATACTGCATGTTTGCCTTTCTTTTGGGGCCTATTGGAGGAGCCATAAGTGGATTTGAGTAGAAGGGAAGGACCTATCAACTGGCACAGCTGTATTTTGTGATTTGTGATTTTATCTCTCCCTGTATAGAGTTACAGAGTTGTCCTTGACCTGAAGAAGAGCTATTGGCCCAGGAGTTAAAGTCCTGTAGTCTCATTTGACATGTTTATTACTAGCTTACATGAGAGATCATGAATGTGGCATCTAATTTTGCTAAGCCTTATTTCTTTAGGGTGTTGGACTAGATGATGTCTAAGAACACTTCCATCCTCTTGATTCTGTGATTCTCTTTTAAAAGGGGGAGAAAGATAATAAAGACAAACAAGTAATTCCTCAAAGGGAATAATTACAGGGGATAGGGTGGGAACCAGATTGTGTGCAGTGGGGTTTCTGTTCCTGCCTCATAGACCCTCTTTACAAAGACTGATTGTCCAATATGACATCTGTCCATTTCATTTATAGGGACATCGATAAAGTTGATGAATTAATGCAGGACATTGCTGACCAGCAAGAACTTGCAGAGGAGATTTCAACAGCTATTTCAAAACCTGTAGGATTTGGAGAAGAGTTTGATGAGGTGAGTGGTTTCATGCAGTTCACATAAGCTTCACAAATGTCACCCAGGCCGCCCTTTGATGTGCTGTTGAAGTCTCTCCGGCATGGTGTATGTGGTTTGGAAATCACCAGTTCTCATTCCTCCAGAGTCTTGGACATAAATAGATGATGGTATTAACTCTCCCTAATTCTGGATTTTGAGAAATGGCTTTCAATTCACTCTTTGGGATAAAAGTTTAGGTTGAGTAAAGGGACCTTCATAGGGACCCCTCAGCAGGCTTCAGGTCAATAATTGGTTTCAGTAATTACCTTGCACATTTCATGGGGGACCCTGGGTTCAGAGCTGGGGCAGCTGAGATGACCGTTCTTTGTAGAAGGTTACAGGATTTTCCCTTGGGCAACTCTGATTTGAGGTAAAGGTGAAGCCAAGGAAGGAGCATTTATATCTGACCCCTGAGGGATCCATCTGGAACTCGGCCACCTACCAGTTTCTGCTGTAGCAATTGGGATCTTCAGTCTCTTAGGATTTAAAAATACAGCAGGCCCTGTTGAAGAGATTTCATTCTGTGTTAGATTTGAGTCTGCTGAAGGTCAGGTCCTCCCGCCTGAACCTAATTCTTTGTGCTATCTGATTCCCACTATAGCTGAAAAACAGCCTGTGGCTCTTAGACTTGACTCCCAGCACCAGGGTCTTCATGTTTTCAGACTGAAATTTGATGGACTAGTCAAGTTAATTTCAATTCAGCAAATATTCCTGAACATTCACTGAGTGTACCCAGTTCTGAGATAAAGAGGAATGAAAAGATGCAGTCCCTTCTCTCAAAATGCTGACAGCTAGTGCAGGACACTGGATATAGATTCTGTAACTGCTTGATAGGGTATTATGTTCACCAGTAGAACCATGTTTAAGGTTTGAGTCAGAGTATGGACCTGGAGATCATCTCCCTTCTGACCTTCCTAGAAGGGGTGTGTGTCCTCTGGGTCACAGGAAAGAGGGACTGCTGCAGGGGGTAGGAGTCCCAGGGACATCTCTCTCACTCTTGTGTTTCCTTTGCCAGGATGAGCTCATGGCAGAATTAGAAGAACTAGAACAGGAGGAACTAGACAAGAATTTGCTGGAAATCAGTGGACCCGAAACAGTCCCTCTACCAAATGTTCCCTCTATAACCTTACCATCAAAACCCAGTGAGTACTTCTTACCCAGTCATGACATCCCCCTAGTGCCCTGTGGTGGGTAATCTTGAGGTTAGTTGGCCTCAGTTTGGGTCCTGAGTTTGCCTAGGATTGAGAATCACAGAAGATCTGTTGTGATGGCCGCGGAGACATCATCGCCTGTCTTTTCCTAGTTTCTCTATAGAACAGGGTTTCTTAACCTCGGCACTGTTGACACAGCCAGGTAATTCTTTGGGTTGGGGGAGGGGGGTTTTATGTATTACAGATGTTTACACAGCACCCCTGGGCTCTGTCATCCCCAGGTTGTGACAACCAAAAATGTCTCCAAATACTGGCAGATGTCCCCTGCAGGGTGTGGGGGGATCACCCCCAGTTGAGAACCACTCTTCCAGAATGATTTTTCCTATGTCACCAAACAAAAGAAAGTTCTAGGCACTGGGAGAAGGTGTGAGAGTTTAATTCCAGGACAGCTGTTGGTTCCTGTCTAATATCCTCTGCTGTGCACATCTGCAAAAACTTGGGGCCTCAGAGGCAGCCACTGTGGGAAGGAAATATCTTTGGCTTTTAGAGACATGGTTCTGTAAAACCTTCATTTCTTTCTGCCTGCTCCTTCTTCCCCCTCCCTCTTCCATTATTTCACCTTGGGTGGGTAGAAGTATTCCACATCAAACTTCTAGAAAAGGTACAGAAGTTTGACTTGGCATGGAGAGAGCCTGGGGAGCAGTGTAACGAGGCTATAGTCCTCTTACCCTCCCATGTATCCAGAAGAAATGGCCCCTTAAGTTGAGTCGGCAGCATGGTGGTGGGTTCAGGCAAAGGGGGTCCAAACACTGTTTAAGGGGCACCTGTGGGTGTGGAGAGGTGGTTCAAGCCACTTGAGGTGGAGGGGGATTGCTGGCAAGGATTAGATCTCTGGGGTTCTTCCTGATTTCCCCCTTCTTGAATGCTCTGGGATAAATTCTGACGGACTCTCAGTGTAGAATCCTTGTTTTGCCTGGCCCCAATGCTGGGGGGGGGGGTCGGTGCCGGGAACGTGTGCCTGTTATCTGGAGTTTTATGTTGCAGCTTTCAGGCACAGAAAATGTCTGCTGATAGCCTGGCGATGAGGCTGGGTGCCAGGGTTGTGCTACATCATGTCTCTAAAACAGCCCTGCCCTTGCACCCAGCCAGAATGTGTTGAGAGCATTGTAACCAGCCCTCCTAAATAGCCTTTTCTCTCTTCACACAGCCAAGAAGAAGGAAGAGGAAGAGGATGATATGAAGGAATTGGAGAATTGGGCTGGATCCATGTAACTGGTCCAGTGCGGGCTGGGCCCAGACAGACTCTGGTGGCCTGTGCAGCGGGCAGGCGTGTGCGTGTGCGGGGCAGGCAGGACATGGTGCAGGCAGGTTCCATCGCTCCTGAGTCTCCCTCCAAAGCCTTAGGGCCGCATCACTGCTCACTCTCTGCATAGCATGGTCTGCACCCAGCGGGACAGGGAGGGGGGCGGGCAGGTGAGGTGGGAGGTGCCTGTTGTTTATAATGTTGAATTTCTGTAAAATAAACTGTATCTGCAAATCCAAAAAAAAAAAAAATCCTAACGCCCAGGTGACTGCCTAGACCAATTAAGTAAAAAATTTCCAGGA